AAAAAATAGATTTATACAAGTAAGAGTGAACTCCTCCCTCTCGTCACCACAAGCCACTTTAGCTGGAGTCCCTCAAGGCTCAATCTTGTCTCCAACGTTATTCAATGTATATATCGCTTCAGTGTTCATTCGTTGCCCTACAAACGTAAATTTAGCTGGTTTTGCTGATGACCTAGCAATTTTTACTTCCAGCCCATCACTGGAAAAAGCAATCCACAGATTGGAAAACGCCTCCTCCCTAATCATTAAAGAACTGAATTTATGGAAAATTAATGTAAACGAAGACAAAACAGAGGCGATTTTATTTACTCGTAGCAATCCCCCAAAAATCACGGTCAAAATTAGAAACGCGGAGATCTATCCAAAAAAACACATTAAATATCTAGGTCTGTGGATTGACTCCAAACTTCTCTGGAGTCACCACATAAAGCAATTAAATTCGAAAGCCAAAGCCATTCTAGCACGCCTATACGGGCTCTTTAAGTCAAACTCCCTTAGCACCAAAATTAAATTAACCTTATTCAAAGCCCTTATCAGACCCGTAATTACGTATGGTTGCCCAATCTGGCATAATGCGGCTATCTCGCACATTGCACAGCTCCAAATCACACAAAACAAATTCCTTAGGATAATTGGCAATTTCCCCGTTAATACTCGCATTTCCACCATTCATAAAAACCTTGATATCAACTCAATCCTCGAATATATATTAGCATTAACCGAAAAGTTTAATTATAGTTTAAAAAACCACCCAAACAAGGACCTACACTCCATCAACATCGATCAAAAATCAATATGGTCGAGATAACTTCCCACTCCCACCTCTCCTGCACTCCTTCTCCATCCCTACCACATTCCTAACAACCACCCCCAACTTATAGGGTTTTTTCTTTATTTTATATTTTTTCCCTATTGTAAACCCTCTTTTACCTTCAACACCCATTATGTTAATTACCAATTTTGTACCATGCTTTAGGATTAATTTAGGTATAAAGCCCCAGGGCTGGCGGCCTAGTCATAGACAAAATTAGCATAATGTAAGTACTGTACATATTGTAAATTAAGACTAATAAACGTTTAATAATGTAATGTAATGCGCGTTGTCGAACGGGCAACGTGCTTGGCTAACACACGGACGGTTCGGGTTCTATCCCGCCATCATTCATTTTTTTTTTCAAAATAATTCCATTTTTTTTTTTTTGTAAATGGCTAATCTTCCAGCTAGACTCAATTAGATGGAGACTAATCATTAAAATTTCAAAACGGATGTTTATTCGAGAAAAGTACAATTGTGCATCTCTGTAAACTCCTCGTCTAAACATAATTGACCTATCTATTAATTGTAATTTAAACTAGATGCTGTCGACGAATGTTACATTTATTAAGGTACACACGTTGCATTGGACTGATTTCTTTATTCACATGGAATGTTGATACTTGACGTAAGCTATGGCGGCGAGCTCCTTGCAAAATTCCTCCGTTATCACTACACTTTCGTATAAAATATTCTCTGTGACTCTGAAACAAAAATAAATGCCCAGTCATTTTAATTGTATATCATTTGGGATAAATAAGTCACTCCAACTCAAAAGCTCTCAATTGAAGACAAAAAAGTCAAATTCCTTTTTTGGTAGCTCATTCAAAATCAGAAAAACAATGTTTTTTATTTTCTTCTGAAATCAATATTTTTATTATTAATCTTTTTAGATAAATTCGTATTCAACAAAACTGTAAAAGTCTACAGAATGTTTCAGTTTATTATTTCCCCACTGAGTTAATTCCTTTCGTCCTTAATAAACATCAATTAGTAGATTTTGAGAACTAATCATTAATTAATTTAATTAAATTCCAAGGAAATTGCAACAATTGGTTTTAATTTCGAGCATCAGATGAAATTAATTGTATTGCAGATAGAATTCTACTCAATTGCGGTAACTTTCAATTATGAATTGGAAAAAGCATTTCTAGCTTCAATTCGACTCGTTAATTAAATATTTTCAATGAGAAGAAATTAATTGCAACATACAGTCCCTGTGATTCCTCCAGGAGTTTCCTCCGTGTCTCCTTGAGCCCCTCCTTAAACCCTTGTAACTTGGTGGTTTCCCCCACCAACATCTTAACAATCTTCTGCAAACAACCGAAGAGACTCTTCGTGCCTGGTGCAAGAGGCAACAAAGGATTCAGCAGAAACTCGTGCAGGTACGGATGTGGTAGCAGTGCCAGCCTCGACACGACAACAGTCAACTGGAGATTGATCTCGTATCTCTGATGTGGAATGCTTGAGACCTTGTCCAGGAGCATCGTGAGGAAGGGGCCCATGTAGAAACGAGAGGAGCGATCTGCCTCTGGCCTGGAGTCATAGCTCGCAGAATCATCGATACTCACAGCCTCCAGAGGCCAGGCGAACAGGGCGCAGTCCAATTTTACTTTTTCGTACTGTTTCTCCCAGTCTGCCATGTATCGCTCGTAATTGTCCTCCCCAGGGTCTGTCTGGAGCTGCCTCGGCATCAGTGACAAGAAGCTGAAACGTACCATTAAAACGTAAAAAGAAATAAAAATCAATGTTAAAAAATATTACGCTTCAGCATTATTTGGGGAGTGAATCGAGTGCTGCGATAAATGTTATTACAAAAATTCTCCTATTTTCCTTATATTTATAAATATTGCTCAAAAAATCAAGTGAGGGATCAGTCAAATTATCTCCAGTCATCACTTCGCGTATGAATTACCAATTTAAAATTCTGTGGATGTTACTGGGCGCCAGGGTTCTGCTGTGACTCTTCTCAGAGAAATCCAATGACCCCTTTTTCTCTCGTTCTCGTTCATCTTCCTCATCACTCCAAGACGCTATAGCACTGTCAGCTGCTGTGTTGTCATAGTATCCACGTGCTGCCAGGTAGCTCAACACCATGCAATGGAGCACGTGCTCATTACGTTTCTCCATTATTTCCTCGAAGAGCTTGAGAGTCTCCAAAGTCAAATCATCACTGTCTGTGTAGCAATTTTCAAGCAGTCGCTCTACCACTGATGTGGATACGTCTGCTATCACTGGATCTCTCTGTTCACCCACCAACCAGTAGTTAATTTCTAGAGATAATAAGTTAGATAATTAAATACCTAAATTTTTACTCGTTTGAATAAATTTTTTAGACAATTCAATAATTAAGAATACGAAAAAGTGTAATTCGACGTGAGTTTTACTCCATTCTTTCTGAATGATTAATATGAATAAATAATTTTGTAATAATAATTTTATAATTGCTGTTCATCTCACCTGTGCTCAGAAGGTGAGACGTTATCTTCCTCAATGTCTCCGTGACAAGACCAGTTATGAGGACCACGTGGTGGTCTGATAATGCAGGAGTCACGACTTTTTCAAAGAATAATAGTCTGATTGTCCTGGCAAGTTCATGTGCTACGTCTGGATGAGCCTCTTTGATTAATTGGTCGCAGTAATCGAGCCACATAAAATATGCAGCGACCTGTCGACACCCAGGGAATTTTTTTTCGTTTGTCCAGAGAGGAGAGTCGAGGCCCCAGGTGACGTCGATTTCGGATAATTCCGCAGGATCGACGTACGCCGGAATGGAATTGAAGAGGTACTCAAGACGATTCGTTATTACTCTTGCTAAATCACTTCTTGCCATAGTCCTGGCAAACGCGGGGTCTTCCAGAGATGCCAGAACCATTACTCCCTCGCAGGCTCGAATCCTAACGGTATTATCCTTCGAAAGATAATTTTTTCTTCAACAACGCGTTCTTCATTTTCTCAATATTATTACAGATCTGATAAGAATAATATTAATTAATTTCGTGCATTAGTGTACCTACCGCAGTATTGAGATAACTAATCAAGGCATCGACAAGAAGACTGCTGGAGGGCTCATCAACAGGTGAAATAGCGAGACTTTGGTTCTTAGACTCCTCAGATTCGACCCCATTGCCACAATCAGTGTCAATCCTCAGTTCCTCCAACTCCTGGAGTTTCTCCCCATCCAATACCGCGAAAATCCTGTCCGATTCCCTGTCCCCCTCGGTCCCCAGGTTCAATTTATCGCAAGCTGGACTGGAGCACCTGGACGAGTTTTCATCCCTGGAGGAGTTGGACGCACTGGACCTCGTCTTCCTCTCCTTTCCCCTCTTGTCCCCCTCGTCCTTGAGCTTAAGGCGTTCAGAAGCGATGGATTTGCGCCTCTGCTTATCGCAGGCAAATAAATTCGGGTTCATCAGGGTAATTGCCTGTGTGTTGAGGGGCTCGAAGAGGGGATTCAGGCTGTTCTGTTTCTTCGAGGATACATACGTCACCAAGTGCTTGTCATTGGCACTCGTTTGGGCCTCAGGACCCCCTCGGCTAACACCTGAATCGTTGACGATGTTCGTGACATGGGGATAGCGACACACCAGGAAGCAGATTGTCAGCAGGAAATGAATCTCCTCTGTTTCTACTGGGGATGGTATCTTTCCACTGCAGAGGCTTATCAATCTCTGCACAGGGCCGTACACCGCTGCCTGATGCAGCAGGGAAAACCTTGATCTTGCCAGGAATCGTTTCATAAACGAGAGACAGACATAACGCATCCCCGGGGGTGTCTCCACACTTGCCAAAGTCGTCAACCAGTCCAGCAATTTGTGCTGGAGCAAGTACTCGAGACATGGTCCTGGATTATCATCCATTCGTTCCTCTGCTAGGAGAAGCTCCAGGAGACGCTCCAGGTGCTGCGGTATGCATGTACTCTCGATCGGCAGTTTATTGTTCGTTTGATGGCTTGCGTAATAATTCATTAACTGTTTCCAATGATACGTAAAATCTTGAATCGGTGTAGCTGGAGGTGCTATCTGGAAATCCAGGATGTCGTGTTGTAACGGAAGGGAGTTATCAATTCTCTTGCGAATCGGTGAAAAATCAATTATTATTATAAATTCGTTGAAGTTTAAAGTGAAATGGAAAGCAAATCCTACATGATTTACAGTTTCGTTCAACAGCGATTTATCTGAAAAACTATTGTTTCGAAGATATACTTTAAGATCTGTTCTGTTTTATTATTTTAATATTTTCATTTTAATCCGCAAACTTTAGAGGCGGATTAATCGATAAATGAGAATTTATATTAATATTTAATTGGATGAATCTTCTTGATAAAAAAACATTGGACATTCTCTAAAAATATCATGACGATTCGCAAGACCAGAAACCAAATAGCTACCAAATGAAAAATGTTTATCATGAATGAAAAGGAATAAAATAGACAATGTCCCCTTTTTATTAATAAAAATTGAGTAAGTGGTACCCATTTTTTTTTAATCCTGAAAACGAAAGGTTACTATTGAAATAACATAAAAAACTCTCGTCTTCAACTTCTCTCTTCAAAAACGCACTCTAATTTGCGTCTTTTACCAAATTTTTTCACTTCGCTCCAAAATAAAAATGAAACGTGGAAACGAAAGTAAAATAAAGACGTGCTGGACCAAAAACACGATTATCGATGAAGGGATGAAAATAATGGAACAAGGCATAACGAAACAAAAAAAGTATTTATTTATTAATATCCAATGGCATATGTACATGAAAAAAATAATGAGGCATTATATCGAGACATTAATAACAGAGGCATGTGACAAAATCCGTAAAAACAAAAAAAAACAAATAAAAGCCAATAATAACAAAGCAATGATCCTGAAGGACCGAATAATAATAAACACTCACCACGTCGATAGTATTTTTCAAGGCTATTTGAAATCCACTGATCATATTGTATAGTTTAATTACGTTACAAATTTCCAAAAGTGATTACTAGTGTTGAAATACTGATTGGCTAATTAGAGGGGCCCTGATAAGTCACTTCATAATTGAGATGGAATTATTTTTACTCGAAAACATCTGCCAGCCGTATCCTCCTGACACTATTGGAATGTTTTCGTCTTGCAGAAGTAACTCTGCTCAATACATATATATACCTCATTATTTTATTGTCCACTAGCGCCGCCACGGACGTTGACGCCTTTTTATTCGGTTTTTTTCCATTTCATTTTCTCCATTTTCCTTTTTTTTCCCGACAATTAAGTATTCATCAGTGTAGTGAATAATAATATTAATGAAAATAATATATATCATATTCGACTTTTTTCAATTCGATGTAGTACTGCACCCCCAAGAGAGGGAGGGCGCAACACGCGATACTGGGGTGTTTTTTTTTTATTAACCAAGTTTTTATTGCAATGCGGGGTGTCCATCAAGTCGACGGGATGAATTTTATTTTCTGTTTTTCATTTGTTTAACTGAAATTTAGCCGACTGTAGAACGTACGGAAGGGGGAAACCACATCTTGTGGAATTTCAATGGAAAAAATTATTCAATATGTTGAAGATATACCACTAATGAATTTATATTTTTAAATGAGCGCGTTGTTTTAGCGGTAACGTGCTCGACTGGCACGCCGACGGCCCGGGTTCGATCCCGCCGTCATTCATTTTTTTTATTTAAATAATTGCAATTTTTTTTTTTGTAAATGGCTAATCAATCGAAATATTGGTTAAAAACTGAATAGCTCTTCGATCGTCATGTTCTCCTGATACTTTTTCGAAAATTTCGAATTTTTCACTTTCAGTGAAAATTTCCGTGAATAGCTCCTCGATTGTCATGTTCTCCTGATACATTTACAAAAATTTCGAATTTTTCACTTTCAGTAAAAATTTCCGTGAATAGCTCCTCGATTGTCATGTTCTCCTGATACTTTTACAAAAATTTCGAATTTTTCACTTTCAGTGAAAATTTCAGTGAAGA